GCAATTGAACTATACCCCGAGTCTTAAACCAAAAGAAAAGTGCTTGGTACTTGGTAGTGTTAATGGTCCAGCTAATCATCATAGGCTCCTCATGTCTGGAAAGCTGGCCTTTGGCCAGATGAAATCACTTAACTATCCTCATTTATGTAAAAATGAACCATAACAGGATTGCCAAATATTTTTAAGCAAAAAAAAACATAATCAAGGCAGATTGAATCACTTACAGCACTGGGGGTCTTGTAAATCCACTATTAATTATTAAAGGATATCAGAAGAAAAAATGATTACATTTATTTAAACAGCTTCTCTTCCACTTACTTCCCTAGGAGTCAATCCTAGTAAACATTTATGCGACTGGATATATTACAACTTTTACAAGCATTCTCCGATTTTCCTCTAAAGCTCATCCATCAATCTTCAGCAATCCTGCTTCTCCCCCTTTCTCCATTTAAAGAACCAGTTAAGCATTAAACTAGACCATATACATAATCTCTACGGAAACAGATACATAACTCCTAGCCCCACAGGATATATTATGTTACTCTACCTAGAGGTTAGTCAGTAAATAGCATTACCAAGTAAAAAGTGAGATAAACATAGAAACTTCTTACCTCTAAGCAATCAATCACAGCCAATTGATGTGCTCAGCAATCTCTGGACTTATTTTATTAATCGGCCAGAGCGTCAATGCCCATGTATTTTAGGTTATGACTGTCGCTCTGCCAACAAGAAACAAATTGGCTTGATTCACTAAGTAGAAAAGGCTCAAAATCAGCTTACAATAGACGTGCACTTCCAAAAGCAGACACTGGCACATTAGGTATACCTTTAAAAATCTGGATATAGCATCCGCTGCTGACTCTAATAACTTAGGATTGGGATATATAGAGGAAACACAGCATATGCACTCATAGAGTACAGCATTTCCTATATTACTTGACGAATCGCATTTCTGAATATGTCTCCCACCATAGTATACATGTTTTCACTTGCTTGTTTGTCACCACTTCCAAGCCGGGCTAAAATTTTCAGCAATTTGATCTGACGAATGTAACTATGATTATCATATGACCTGTATTTTTAATTGAAATTTAAGAAAATAAAGTTGAAACATTGAAAGAAAAAAGCATTACCTGAATAAATGGAGCTGGCATCTGATGGTAATCATAAGCCTTTGGCAGTCTGCGTTCAGCTACTGTTTAAGAATGCTTACAAAGCTGATGACTAAATCTTGTAAGAATCACATCAGTGTTATAAGCTCGGAAAGTGGGCAGAGGGTTGCACCCATAACTCCAGGATCATTATCACAAAGTCTCTGAAACAAAGGGAATCACATAGTGTAAATAGAAATAAGATAGTATATGGTTGCTGAGAAAAATATACGCGTAGAAACGTCAAAATATCTATATTCTTGTATTTCAACTTCTCAAGGTATTAACCATGATCTCCAGTCCCTATTACGGTGATAATTCTTCCTTAAAGGAGGTCATTCAAGGATAGAGATTTTGAAATTTATGGTTCTAGATGTGAAACACGTATAAGCTAGTTCAATTAAAAAAATTATACAGTAATGAAGAAGAAAAGGGCACAATTTTTAAAAATTGCAGTATTCATTTAGCATATCACTCGCATGCAAGCACAGAAACAATACGCTTTCCCGATTTCCTACGGATAAATAGACGAAGACATGGTAGTATGCTGGTTAAATTAAAATCTGTCAACACATTCATTTGGGATGGCAATGATACAAAAAATTAGATTAAAAAACCTAGAAATAGAATAAGCTAAATGGCGAAGACCTACCTTGCGAAAATTCGAGACGAGATGCGAAACGGAAGAGGGGGATTTCTGATAAAGCGATGGAGCCAGATGGCTTTCTTCCGTACAGCCTCTTTAGGATGCGCTAGCAAGTCAACAACCTGCGGCAACACGGCCAGGAATCGTCTCCTTGATCAACTTGCAAACAGCATTCAAGGCGGCGCAGATACCAAGTAATTGTCGGACTTCAAATCCTTCTGGATGGTATGACAATCAAAATGATCAAATCATGATCTTCGTTCAAGAAGAGGGTGACGGCCAAGTAACCGGTCCGTTTGACGAGAAGGCTATCGTCGTGAGTCATCTTAACGGCGTGAATGTAGCCGAAGGAAGCGTCGTGACCAAGCATCTCGACGTAAACCAATCTGAGGATGTACTCTTTCATCTTGCGCTTGGGTATGTCGGGCTCGGAGACGCGGCGCTTGAGGGTCTCGATCTCGCCGAGAACGATTCGGTCTTCTTCCGCCTTGGATCGAGCCTCGCCGATGGACTTGACCAGATCCAGAAATTCTTTGGATTGGTAGAATCCGCCTTGGGAGCCCATAGCGAGCTCCCTGCCAATCGTCTTCAATTGCTCCATCTTAGCTACACTTTTCCTCAAATCACTTTTCCCCTTTGAGTTGAGATTAGATCTACACCCAGAAATCAGATAATTTCGAGTAATGGTTTCTCTTGCGTTTTTACAGCCTAGAGAGGAAAAGAAACACGTGTTTTCTTACAAACAGTATATTAGTATGACACCTTTTTTTTAAAAGGGTAAATTAAACGTTTACTCACTGAATTTTACTCTCTCCTATTTCACTTACCATACTTTCAATGTTTTTAATTTGATCACTAAATTTTAGATATTTAACTTTTTTGATTATTCTATCATTAATTTTGTAACGACATTATGACGTGACATAATTAAATAATATTTTAATGTTAAAATATATGTAAGAAAAAAATTCCTTTCCCCTTCATTTTCTTATCTTTCTTTCTTTTTTTCTTTTTCCTTTTCCTCCCATTTTCTCTTCATTTATTTTCTCAACTTGAATGAACCCAAATTTTGAACTCCTCACCCATCATCGTTCTGACCATCATCGGCTTCTATTTTGACCATCGTTAGCCAAACGAAGAGAAAAAAAAAGGTAAAAAAAAAGGGATAAATCATAGAATAAAGGGGTTATCTTCATCATCTTCACATTAACCTCACTCACCCAAATCACTACTGCACCTATATCTAGTGGCGGATCCATAAATTTAAGAATGGGAGTCTAAAATTTTAATTTTTTTATTATAAATAATGGGTACAAAAGTTGTAATTTTTTTCATTTTTTTCTTAACAAATTAAACTAAATTTAATCACTTTTTTCAAAATAATGGGATGCACTTGACCCGTATGGGGGCTTAGTGCATCCGCCACTGCTCATACCCACTGGTATGTTGCTTCTACCCAAATAACCTCTAACAACATTATTTTCCTTAACTAAAGCAGTCTGAGCCTCAAATGGAGTTGCTAATTGAAATTCATTTTCTTGATTTATATGTTGAAAATAGTTTCAAAAACTTGTAAAAAACAATGGATGAGGAGGGCAACGTCCCCTCTAAAATTCGATAGTGAAATGACAATGGGTTTGATGATCGATAAATGTTATCTCTGAAATCTTAAGTTACCCATGTATCTTATAAGAAACCCGAAAATAAGGAAAACAACCCACTATGCATTATTAAAAAAATTATTAAAAGACTAATTATTAGTCAAATTATTAAAAAACTTGACCTATAAATCTATTCAAATTATTAGTCGGCACTTGTTAACAAACTAATTATTAAAAAATTCAAGCATCTATAGTTGTTGTTTTTTAAATTAATAAAGTATTAACACGTAATTTGATATATATAAAAGACTTTTAATGTGCAACGAATTTTTTTTAATAAGTACAAACTGAATAAAATTTTATCGAACATAATAAATAACCAATCAATAGTCGAGCTCAACGCTAATCAACTCCTGACAGACTCGCTCGATAAACACTATAATTCGGATAATCTTAATGAAATGTTTTTATATTGGACCGTTATCGATCCATTAAACTCAGGCGACTCAAGATCGATTGGGTCAGAGAAACAGTTGGCCAGTAAAATTTCTTTTTGTATTTTTAAACTTAAAGCCCAAATTATTATACAGCTCCACTACCTAAATCTATGGTCAACAAAGCACCGACCAACCCCGAACGAACATCGACAAACGAAAAAAACACAACCCCGTTTTATTTTTAGGGATGGACGAATAAGGGTTATTGGTATGATCGACCCTTAAAAATTTTAATTTTTTTTTTATATTTTAGATATATTTTAAATTAAAATTTTATTTTTGTTCCCTAAATTTTTATAGCTCATCCTCTTTAGAATTTTATAAATTCACTCCTAATATAAAATTTATGTCCGTATGTGATAACCGTAAACCAAATTTTTCTATCAACCCCCAGCTGAAAATAGTATGCTTATGGATGGAAATGGGTCGAGTTAGGGTTGGGTTTTTAACTAACTCCACCCGACTTGAAATTATGCATCCTCCTCCCGAATCTAACTTGATCTGAAAATTTTATATCCTTCACCCGACCCGAGCTGACATGAAAAACTTATACCCTACATTCTATTCCGACTCGACCATAATTTTTAGAGTATAAATCTGATCCGACTTGACTCGATGTAAAATAAGTACTTAATTAAAAAAATAAAAAAAAAGGAAATTACATTATTATCTTCGGGTCGGGTCGGGTCGGAGTTTTTTCACCTCACCCGACCTGACCCGAACTCAATTTTAAAAGAAATGACCCTATCAAATCGGTTGGATTGAAACCCATCAAATTCGGTTAAATTGTCATCTTAAGTATGCTTGCTTTATCAAATACAAATGGCACTGCAAGCTAAAGCTATGTGCTTTCGGCTAACACAGATAAAAGTGTCCTTAATTCCTTAATAGAGTGGTTAATACTATTGGGATTATTTTGTGTATGGAAAATGCTTTAAATGTAGGAAAAGAAGATACTTCCCCGCCAATTGGAGCTAATTTATACCTTACCAATCTCGTCAAGCCTGAAACAGAGCATCACCTCCCTAGTGCACTACATAAATCCTTGTCCAAAAGCCTAAAGTCAAAAAACAAAAAAACATCCGAATGTTGTTGACATTGATTCATGAGCCTCTCCCGATCCAATGAACCCGAAACCGAAGTTCTCAGAGTGCCTTACGTTAGCATCATAGGCGCTCACCTAGACCGGATGCAGCTCGATTACGCCGGTATTCTTGAGATTCAAGTAACGATACTAGTCCGAGCCAAGAACGGGAACGGGAAGGCGCACGCGAGCTTCTCGGATTCGAGTTACGGCCTAAGTTTGAACAGGGAAGTGGTGGCGCAGTTGGTAGCACCACCCTTCGAATTAGGTAAGAACAGTTCGGTTGATTTTAATTACGTAGTGCCATCATCGCCGATACCTTTGGGACCAGAACAAGCGGAATATGTCGACACGGCTTTGAAGAATGATCGGATTACATTCCACCTGAAAGGGGGCACCAGGGTGAGATGGAGGATAGGCCATCTGGGCTCGGTTAGGTTCTTGTGTCTCCTCGATTGTCAGCTGCATTTTCATCCTTTGAATGGCACCTACATTCCTTCACGCTGTAGTTCGAAGGCCAAATGATGTCTTTTTGTTTCTCTACATGTTCTTGTTCATGTAATAATTATATTTTCTTTTGTATGCTCTGCTTTGTATATACACAAAAAGCAGGCAAAAGCACATAAACCTCTCTTCTCCCCTACCCCAGCTGCCTTTTTGTTCTTCATCATTATTAATATGTTTAGTCTTAAGATAATTTAAATTTTAACCCGTCAAGATAGCTAAGTGACAAAAATAATTGTTGTTCATTTTAAAAGCTCTAAACTCGAACATATACATATGTAGAATGTGTACGTAATATTATTAGATAAAAAAATTATGAATAAATATTATCTAATAATCCTTATAAATTATTAAAAAAATTATAACTAATTATTGCTTTTGTTTAATTTTGATCGCTTAATACTTAATATATATAGTTTATACAAAAACATAATTTTAATTTCATAATTATTATTCTGGTTTCAACAATTAAAATATCACTGTGTCTCTTCTTCTTTCTTTTTTAACTTTAACTTTGGGTCATATTTTATAAAGCATATCAATTTTTTTTTTTTTTGAAATACCAGATTACCAGTTTTGATGCTACTTACCGATTATTAGTTATCTTTTCTCTTTCTTTTTTTAATAAAAATAATTATATTTTTGTGACACATTTATATTTATTTATGTAGTACACTTTTTTTCTTGGTCGTTTGATTGTTCTTTTATTTATGTTTTTTTCAAGATTAGATTTGACGACGCAACGACTGATCGAAATGACACTAATTTAAAATCTTGTTGATCTTTCCTGCTACGGAGCTTCGAATTGAATTTGGATAGTCACTCACGATATTCGACTTTGATTTATAGTTTTTGATGATCTTCAATAGTTTAATTTTATTTTATAATTCGTTTATCGATACATTTAAATTAGTTTGTATTTATTTTTTTTCAAATTTTTTAGTCAAGTTTTTAACCTTCTATGTATGTGTGTGTATATATGTATATGATCTATGATTAGTTTCAATGTTATAAAATGTCCAAATGAAGGCGAAGGAAACATAAAGGAAGTCAAAAAAACAATGGCGGTGAGCGGTATCGCTGAAACTAGGAGTAGGATATTCTTCACAGTCATAATAAATCACCATGAGATAAGCTTTTCCATGAATAAAATAAATATAAATTGCATGTAAACATGCATACGTGTCTGCCACGGCGCGCTCTAGGTGCCACCTTTCTCCCCTTCATAACAGCCTTCCCCTCTTACTCAAACCACTCTCACTTTGTAAGTGCTAAATGAAACTAAATTTGAATTCTTCTACTGCTCTCTCCATTGCTTTCTCTCTACTGTAACTGTAAGCACTTCCCCAATCTTCCAACCTTCTCTCTTTATTCTTCATTCTTCATTCTCTCTCTATGTCTATATATATACATATATATATATATATATTGAACTAGGTGAAACGCTTTGCTTCCGTTGTTCATTCTAGTGTTATAATCAAGGGTTTAAGTAATGCGCCGCCTCTGCTTGTTTTCTTTATCCCTACTTCCGTTCGTCGAGATCAATTTTCCGCTCAAGTTGTGTTTTAGTGATATGATTTGATTTTCACATCGTAATGATATCATTTACCGTCAATATCCTTTTTGTTTTCGTAATTGATCGATGAACTGATCATTTCCTTTGTTTTCTGTTTTCTGCTTTCTGCATTTCGCGTCCTGCAATCTTTTTAGTTCTAAATGTGTTGTCGCCATGGAAAACAGGTAAAAATAGCGTCATTTTTGGATAGTGTTGTCGCCATGGAAAACAGATCTAGAAGCAATTTTTGATGAGAAAATTGTGGCAAAACAATAATTCCGGAGCCATATTTTTATATGCATCTGTTAGAATAGATGAGATTTTGTTCATCCGGAAAGTGGAATTATCTCCAATTCATCCAGTGAAGCTTGTAAGAAAGGAAAGCAGACAATTATTGCTGCTTTATTGTAATTAATGCATCTATGACACCAGGGGATGGTGCTATATGTATTTTATGGTGCTATATGTATTTTCAAAATTTGTTTTCATTAAGTTCAAGCTCGCCCTAACACAAGTTTGTCCCTAACATAAAAGTTTTCATCCCTAAAATTTCTGAAGTTCAAGTTTGCCCCTAATGTAAAATCCTGCGTCCGTCCTTGTATGACACATAGGCTTTTGGTCTCTTGGTAGTTTCTATCGTCTGAATGTGGCTTTTTTGTCGTGCATCATATGCCGAGTGATCTTAGGAATAGTGTTTGTTATCTTTCTTCTCCAAAGGATGAGTTTTTATATGAATGATTATCCACTTCATTTTGTGAATCTATTTCTTTGTTGCATTTTGTTTTGTCTAGTGGTGCCTTTAGAAAATGATTATGGGGTTCATGTTGTGCAGTGTATTGCAAGCTGAATCTTTTATTATGGTTATGCAGTATGCGGGGTGTAATTATTAAGAAGAAGCTCCCTTGATCAATAATGGCTGGTGTGATAATGATGTTTCACAAGGTAACGTAACGACGCGGTAACCATGCGATTTTCTCTAAGCAAATCGGTACGGTTTCGAGACGAAATGATCTTTATTTCTGTTAAAACCTGGTTGCAGATGGTAAAGGCAGCAATTTCCTTTCCTGTGAATATGTTCCGCAAATCACTGCTTTGGACGGTTGCTCTTGTATCGCTTCCTTACAGGATGTTGACTACCTTGCAGAGGGAAAAGCTGGTTAGTTTTTCAGTATACCTTAGCTGAGAAACACGTACTATGGTTTTCCTAATTCATGCCTGCAAATTATCGATGTTAAAGCCGCCGCCTTTTCGATTTGTACAATATTCTTTAGTGATTATAAACTAGATCCTTGACTTGCTTTGAAGTCTTGGTCTGCCGCCTTGTTTATTAATTGATATAAGAATCATGGTCTTGTTTGCAGCTGGAACAACATCTACATGAGATGCAATTTGAGTTGGAGACTCTTGTTTGGGACAGGAAGGAGCTCGAGGAACATCTCCAAGCAGCTGTTAGAGAAACCAGAATTATGGAGTCGGAGTTAATTGAACTCGAAGGGGAACATGACAAGGCCTTTGCCAGGATTGAACTATCAGAGGGCGAGGTAAATATCTTAAATTATCTGCAAGTTTGACTGGTACCACTGAATGTATCATACCGGGGTATGAACCATCAATCGTTTATTAACAACTCTGTAGAACTTTCTGCATTGCGTGTACTGAAAATATTGTGCGCCCTGCCAGTTGCAGGATTTAAAGGACCAAAATCTTCAGCTGAAAGAAGTTCAAGGTAAAGCGGCATGGAGTTATAGAGATCACGATGCACCGAATAAAAACAAAAGCCTGAATACAGTCGATAATCATGTCATTCCCTACAGTGTTGCCTCATTGATTCCCTGATATAAGGGAAGTAGTGAGATCTCCTTCCAAGAGCTGATGATGAACAGAGAAGCATGGGAAGGTAAGGGCAAGAGTAACATCGAAACGTTCAATTCATTAAAAGCTGCCCCTGCACCGAGTGCCTCCGTAGAACTATTTACAGCCGGTGTCCAAAATCCGGATGTCAACACCATCATCGAAGAACGAAGAGGCATTGTGCTTTCGTAAACTCTGTTCAGCGCAATTCTGTCGCTTTTGGTTGGAATGATTGTGTGGGAAGCCGAAGATCCCTGCATGCCTCTTGTGGTGGCTCTCTTCACTGTTGTGGGCATGTCACTTAAGAGTGTTGTTCAGTTTTTCTTCACTATAAAGAACAAGCCTGCATCTGATGCGGTTGCTCTCTTGAGTTCCAACTGGTTCGTAGTCGGGACACTCAGTTATCCGGCACTGCCCAAGGTTACCCGATTGCTGGCTACACTGACCTTGAGCCTCCTGAACCGAGTAGCGAACTGGCTTGGTATCTCCTTCCCCCTTGGTTATCCATTTTCTCCAGCATTTTGTCAAATATACGAGGGAAATACATGGGCATTATAAAGGACAGTGTTGGAACTTGTAGCCGTTTGTAATAATAGAAATATAATTAAAGAGGCCGTGTTTATGGCTATTTGCTTTTGGAATTTGATTGACTTAGAATGAGAGGACCCCACTTACATTTATTTATTTAAGAAATGATCATGCAGCTCAGTTGGTAGACCACAAGATTCTTAATCTTGAGGTTGTGGGATCGAGTCCTATGAATGACATTTCATAATTCAGAGATCTCTTACGGAAGTTGCTCTCAACCTAGTATTGGGACAACCTACTATCTTGCTTCCCTCTTACTCCATTACATATTAAAACAATGGACAATCATGTTTTGTCCATTAAGTTGATGCTAGTGCTTTATTAATTTACATTATTTAAATTTTGACTTTTAGGTCTGCATTATAAGTAGGGTACCCGTTTTTAAACCCAAGTCGTTTTTTTTTTTGGCTATTTAGATGTTTGGGTCGTTAATTTCTCTGTTAACGTGTTACAATCTAGTACCTTTAAAATTTCATTATAAAAATTTTATTATAAAAATTTTATTAAAAATTAAAAAATCACAATTATATAGTTTTTAAAAGAAAAACATAAACATTTTGAAGTAACCTCAAAACTTTAAAAACCTTCAACATTTCAATCCTTAAATTCACGTCGATCGTCATTCTTTGTCGTCGACAAAATTTTAACATTATAAACGTTAGTCATTTAGGTGTATGTATCTTCAATGATACTAATTTGTCTGTTAAGTGACATATGTCACAATATGATGCTTTTAAAATTTTTATTACAATTAAAAAACAATTATATAGTTTTTTAAAAGAAAAATATAAACATTTTGAAGTAACCTCACAACTTTGAAAACCTTTAACATTTCAACCTCTAAATCTATATCGATGTTGTTCTTTGTCGTCGATGAAGCTCCACTCGATCTCATCTCTCTCCGACGACTAAAACCCTATAAAATCGTGACCGATCGACGATAAGTTGACGTTTTATACCATATTATGACACGTGTCGCTTAACGTCATTGACAGTCCGAACACCTAAATGGATAACGTTTGTAACGTTAGACACCTATATAGATTAAGAAACACCGTAAAAACCTATTCGAAAATAGAGGTACAGTCTGGACATTTATTTTAATATTAAACCTAAATTTTTTACTTGATAAGTCTTTCAATATTTCTAAAAGCCGGAATTGTTTAATGTTATTTGAGTTCAGCCTTAAATTTTTAAAATTTTAAATTATTAAAATTATGAAATAACTGAGAAAATGAATGGTCTTAAAGTAATTGGATTGTTTTTACAATTTCATTTGTAATTTTTTAAAATTATGAAATAACTGAGAAAATGAATGGTCTTAAAGTAATTGGATTGTTTTTACAATTTCATTTGTAATTTTTTACGTCTTTAATTAATTTTTCGTAACTAATTTATTTGGTCACTCCTAATATAATTTCTTTTAATTCGATAATTTAGTTAATATTATATTTTGTTTAATTTGATTTTTTGATTATAACTTTTTTATATTATTTTTTTGTTTTTTACGTTCCTGTCACTATTTACTTTCAAATATCTTGAAAAATAATATTATAAATGCATATCTTTAAATGATTTTTATTTATTAAGTAATATTATAAGTCTTATTGCGGACGATATAAGTTTCTTATAGAACAAATTATTCTGAAGTGATTTAGATTTAGCCGTAGATTAAAGTCGATCCATGCTTTTGTCGTTGCCTTTTACTAGTTTATACTAACTGGATCTGTTATACATTTCATTTCATTGTTGTGTTGCAAAATTATATACGCGGGAGTGGAATAGACACAAAATTTTATGTTAAGAGGTGAGATCTTAAGAGGTTATATTAAAATATTAAGAGAAATGGAGTTATAAAATTTTACGGATACACAATTAGATAATTAATAAAAATATATAAAAAAAATCTAAAACATAAGAGAGTTTAAAAGTTATATGAGGTGTAACCACACTCTTCTCGGTCCTCCCTAAGTGAGACTCACTTATGATACAGTTACGTTGCCCTAAGAAGATGTGAGTCGGTCGTCGATGAAGATCTTATCTACTTAAAGCCTCATGATACAATTATATTGGAGTTAGAGCCGTGATTAGCCGATGATTAGGGATTGATCTATAAGGGACAAGTAAGAGTTGTCGTTTTTTTCATAATTTTTAATTTTAGATATTTTTTGTTTTTATTGAAAATTTATTTTCATTCTCTCTAAAAAATTTATAGGTTTGTTCCCTTAAAATTGTGAAGTTCATTTTCAATATAAAATTATATGTTTATCTTGTTGGTGACTATCGAAGTGTTATGTAGGTTCAAAGAAAAAGTTACATTACATACATTATAATGTTAAATATCTCATCCATAAAAATTATTAAAAATGTCTGTTAAATGACACATGTTATGTTTAAAAAAATCTCAATAAAATTTTTATATTAAAAAAACATAAAATTCTTTTAAATTTTGGAAAAACTCCCAAAATTTTAAAATTTGTAACCTAAAGTTCATCATCATCATTAATCGTAATCATCTTGGCGAACACTCATCCACCGTCGAAGAAATTCATTAACCATCATTTACCCTTGTATCAGTGCTAGACCAAATCGTTTTGTACAAATCCTAAGAGAGAAGGAGAAGGAGAGGGAGAGAGAATGGGGGAGTGAATTTGCTTTCACTCGGTCGGAGGGAGAGATATTTTTTTAAAAAAGAATGTTTTTTTAGAATATAAAGTATTTTTAAAAAAAATCTAAAATTTTTCTAAACGCGACATGCGTCATTTAACGTATTTTTTTAATAACCGTAGTAATTCAGACACTTAAAAGGATAGTATTGATAACGTTAGACGATAAAAAAAAATTAGACGCTTAAATTGAAAAGAAAAAAATTGTTGCCTTTTCTATATTAAGCCTTTAAATAATAATGGAAACTATGTTGGATAGTAATATATATAGTAAACTACACTTCTAGAACTAAAATTATTATTTTTATTATATTTTAATATCATCATAAGATAATATCACATTTATTTTTTTTATAAAAGCCACTAATTTTAATAAAAAAGGAAAAAATAGCTAACTCTATTCTCATATGTAATGGGGTAAGGAGGAGGTAGGATAGTAGACTGTCCTCAACACCAGGTTGAGGGCAGCTTCAGTGGGAGACCTCTGGCAGTTAGAATTATGAATTGCCCACCGTGGGGCTCGATCCCACGACCACACGGTTAAGAGCCTTACGCTCTACCAATTGAGTTGGACGGGCAATTCTAATTTCAATAAAAAAGAAGTATCTTTAAATTACATTGAAAATTTACAATCATACTCGTAAATTAATCATATAATTATAACATTTTCCTAAAACTATTAACACAAAATTAACAACTTAAGATCACATGAGGACCATACATATAAATATTAAAAAAACCTAACGAAAACTCGAGTAGGGATAATTACAAATATATATGATCGTATCAACAAAAGAATCGCAAAAGGGAATTAAGTTATTAAATACCCACCGTCAAAACAACAAATCAGAGTCGATAAACGTGAAAAAACTATCCACGAATGTAAATCAAGTATCCAAATCAAACTCGAGGGTCCAAAGTAGGGAAGATTACTATGACAACAGTTAAACGACATATTGATT